TGATAGGATGGCACGTAGCTTTGCCGGAGTCCCCGGATATTTTGCGCAAGTGCATATAAATAGTGAGCACAAGCCGAAAAGGGGAATCACAGAATTTTACCAAATGGCGCTGAAATCGCATGCAAGACACCAAAGATCCCGTGCACAAACCGACACAACCATACCTACATTATACGTCTGTATTTGCCAAAGTGACAGGACTATACAACAATGAAAAAGAAGTTTACAACTAGATAATAGTTAACTTAGTTATTAGATCAGAGAACAGTACCATTAAGTAGGAGAGGGCAATAGAAAACAGGGCTGAGCAGAAATGACTTTGGTTGTTGCAGAAACAGATCGCAGAACGTCACAGGAACGTGATGCAAACACTGCAGAAGAATTGTCCAATTGGATGAACATATTTGCCGACTTGCCCAATCCTTTTTCAGAAACCAGGGCAGAAGATCCATCAAGGCCGAGAAATGCCAAAATGGGCCAAACAAAGATCTCTCATGTATGAATCGTCATATTCATCGTCCAAGGTGGTAACCGTCTTGGCTTTTTTAGGCTGGAGCGGCTCCAAGGCGTCCTTGGCTCGGCTTGTTGGCCTTAGTTAGTTTAGCTGTTGTTTGTGGGGCACAGGTGTGCCATTTGCATTGCGCAAAGTCTAGAGTTTCTGCTCCAGACTTGTAATGCTGCCCGTGTGGGTACTGGAATGGGCCTCTTTCAACTTTTTCTTGTATTGGTTGTAGGCTTCCAAACCTTCAGCTTCCCAAGCAGTATGCTCGATTTGGCCAGCATCAACATTGTTGTTCTTCCCTCCTTTGATGGGTTGGGCCTCACCTGGGTGCTCCTTGACCATTGGTGCAGCTCGGTCCAGTTGGCTTCATTGTTGTCCCGAACAACAACAGCCTTGGCTTCATGGTGAGGGGTGAAAAGGGGCTTGTTGGTGCTCGTTTTGGCTTCACTGATGGTCTTGTAGAACAAAACATTCTTGCCCCACTCAATAGCTCCGAAGACCTTAGGCAAGACCTCGCTCAAGTACCACATGAAAAGCTTCTTTTCCTCTTCAACCTTTCGCAACAGGGGAACTTGGTATTTAAAAAGTGAGTCAATCATTTGGGGCATTAGCATATAACAAATATGGACGTACCTCCAAATCAATTTGGCGACAAGCACACTTTAGGATCATGGCGGTAGTGTGAAGGGCCTTGCTCTTATTCATGCGAGCAAAAGCAACTTTCTTCAACTCCTGAGTATGATAGTTGCGACGGGCATTAATGCCCTTTACCACTGACTTCTTGTAGGTGAGGAAAAAAGTTTCCTCCTTTTCTGCATCATCTTGCCAGCCTCGACAAAACTCTAAATGTTTGGTGACCTTCTGGCAAGCTCTGCGGATTTCCTCGTCGTTCACCATATACTTAACGGTGCGCCACATCTCGTCTTTAGAAAAAGCGAAAATCTCGAGAGCCAAGCCGAGTTCGGTTTGCCCTATTGGGCCCTAGACCTAGCAGGAGGTCAGACAACTTAGCTTGCAAAAGAGCAATGACTTTGTCCTTTTCGGCATCGCTATTCTCCAAGTTCGTATTTTCAGCTTCCAGTTGGACAATCCTCTTCTTGGAACACCCTTTCTCGTGCTCCTTCATAACATGACGCATGTAAGCAACTTCCACAACGAGTTTGTCTTTTTGGATCTGAAGCTGCTTGTCAATCTTGAGACGAGCACTAGCATTGGCCCGCCTCATATTTTCGTCCTTCACCTTGGAGTTTTCTTCAACCTTCCGCCGCTATGCCTTGATAAGAGGGGCCAAGACAATCTTCTTGGGTTTTTTGGCTTCCAGTGTTGATGCAACCGGAGATTCTTTGGAAGGATTTGCTGATTGTTTTTGGGCACGTGCATCCGATGCATATGGCTTTTTGTCCCCTTCTCTTTGTCCATTTGCGAAATATTCTTCGTCCGTTGCAGTTTCAAGGGTGGTATTGGATCTTGGAGATCCAGATTGAGACTTGGACTCCAATGAGCTGTCATGTTTGGAAGACGCAGTTGCGACTTCTGTTCGCTCCTCTTCGTCATCGTTATTGGGCTGTTCATCAAGTTTTGCTTCATCGGTCAGATGCTGCTGCTTTGGTTGTTGTTGTTGCCCGTAGACGAAGCTGATCTTGTTCTTTTTCAATTTTTTACGTGTTTCACCATGTTGGGGTTTGGATCAGGAAGGAGGTGCTGGTGTGCAGGCTTTTGTCGGGTCAGGCGTTGTTGCTGCTGAATTAGCAGGAGATCAAGAAGTGTTTCGTTGGACCAGGAGGAATGTTGTGCACAACAAGAACAAAACAAGCCTCATGAAAGGCTGGGATGGAGAGTGAGAGGAGCTGTTTCAGGTAACCACTGGTCGAGACCTTCACATTGAAATCGCTGTGGCATCCATATTCATAAGGGAATTGGAGGGGAAAGGCACGCATCAAAGTCTCATCCTTGTAGTCCTTCAATATTTTTGCGGATGGTCGAGAAGTTACGTATGGAATGGCATTGCCACACTTGCCCCGTATGTCTGCCAAAGCTTTGTTGAATTCCTCTTTGCTGCAACACCCAGCAGTTTGAATGCTTCCATCAGCAGGGTCCCGAAACAGGACTTAAATGGTGATATTGATGTTTGTTTCACCGTTTTGATTAGTTTCACCCTTTTGGTTAGTTTCACGCTTTTGTTAGTTTCACCCTTTTGGGTTAGTTTCACGCTTTCTGGTTAGTTTCACGCTTTTTGAGTCAGTTTTACCCTTTTGGGTTAGTTTCACGCTTTCTGATTTGTTTCACCGTTTCAGTCGTGTTTACATTGATTTACTATGACAGGATTGTACTTAGTTTCATGCTTTTGAGTTAGTTTCACGCTTTTGAGTTAGTTTCACCGTTTTTGAGTTAGTTTCACCATTTTGAGTTAGTTTCACCGTTTTGAGGGTAGTTTCACCAATCCTAAGAAAAGCGTGAAACTAAAAACGGTGAAACTAATAGATTTCGAAAATCAAACTGAAATTTTATTCTTTTAGTCACGTTTCGTGACCTTGCTGGAAACACAACATTAATTTCTTCTTTGATCTCAATGTCAGTGTTGTCTGATTCAACGCTATGAGAGTTGTCAATAATGACAGGGGTCGGCAGATCGGAAGGAAATTCAGCATCATGATAGAGACGATTGTTTTGTTTAAGCCAGTTAAAAGCATCTATACAATACTGAATGTTTATTGTTGCTTTTCTCATGACATTTGCTTTTTGCTGTGGAGTGAATGGACCGGACAGGACTACTGCAATGTTTTCTGATTGTGTCAGTTCACCCACAGTTTCCAGCACACTCATGGTATGGCTTGGATCCACTTCATAGAAACTGGACCTCTGTGGAAACTCGAGTCGTGCTACTTTTCGTCTCCTAAATCCTTTTGATCGTCTCCTATTTAATGGATTTCGTCTCCTAAAAATAGGAGACGAAACGGATCGTCTCCTAAATCTTTTGTCTCCTCTTAAAACGTCTCCTATTTTCAACGGATCGTCTCCTATTCTCAACGGATCGTCTCTTAAGTGTACCATGTAAACTGTATGGTATCGTCTCCTAAATCTTTCGGATCATCTCCTATTTCGAAGTTTTCGTCTCCTAATTGGAATGTCTCCTACTGAATCGTCTCCTAAATATAGGAGACGATTGCTTTCGTCTCTTAAATCATTTCGATCGTCTCCTATTCCTCGGTGTATCGTCTCTTAAGTATTTTGCCACGAATGACGTTTCCACAGAGGTCCTGTGAAAACCTCGAATGGATCGATGACACCCTCCCCAATAAGTAAACAAAGGCCCTCTGAATCTCGCTTGAGAGATTAGAGCAAGCTCAATCTCATTCAATTTTTCCAAACAGGGAGGAGCCTTTCCAACTGCCATATTGTTGGCAATGGCAAACCTTGGAAGTTCTCCTCTCTTCAGTTTGCGTAGTGTCAATTCACCTTTGCAATCAATACAACACATGACCTGATCACTTCTTCCCCCATTTGCATTGTAGGTTGTTTTAATTTTGCTTCGTGGAGACAGCAAGCATTTCTGGAGCTTGTGTGTTGCCTTTTCATTTCCAGGTACCTCTGTCTTGTAGCTGTTTCGTAGGCTCATTGGCAGGTCAGGATCCCCCTTCAGGCATGCAAACTCGCAGTACTTTTGAAAAGTATTCAGTCTTATCTTACGGGCTTCTTTGGGTTTCATGAACCTGTCACACACAATACAAACAAGGCCATGAAGGCTCCTCGAGCTTGTATCATGGTGGAGTAGAGTATCGATAGCCTTGTTGAATTGCTCCATGGTAGTGCTCAGTAATTTTGTGTTGCCGTTGTTTGTTGCTGTTTTGGGGGCGAGTCTTTGTTTTTTGCTTCATTTTACACCCCTTAAATCACTGGTTTTCCATTGAAGGGTACACACTCCTTAAGTCTCATGATGAGATGAAACAGCGGGCTCAAACAGCTAACTACGGTAACCAAATTAAAATAATCATAGTTTAAGGTACTATCAATTTAGTTACTGGTTGTTGGCAGACGCAACTAGATATAGTATATCTAGAAAATCTATGCTCGATATAGGTTTTGACAGTATGATAGACAATGCGCCTGATAGCCTGCTACCCAATTGTAGCAATAGTAATCATGTTTGAATAGATGCCTAGACCAGTCTATGTGGATGCCTAAGCTAGACTGAATGGATGCCAATGCTAATCACAGTATAGCTGCTGTACATGTTAATCTTGTCTGAATGGATGCCTAAACCAGTTCGAATAGATGTCAAAGCTAGTCTGAATAGATGCCAAGTCTGATCACAGTATTGCTGGAAGAAGAACAGATCCAAGCGTGAGGAATCATCTACGTGGTCATACTGCAAGCTTCGCAACTAACCCTGTGCCAAACCTAGATTATTTTATTTCTACTGTGTGGCAAATGATCATAGTTTCAAAATTCTCAAATTGAAAAACAGTTCACTACTTCTAGTCCACAAACCTTTCGAACAATGGCCAACACCAAGAAAACTACTCGCTCAACTGCTCCTACTGGAACTGCAGGAAAGAATGCCCCTGCTAAAAGAGGTTCTCCTTCAACTAACCGCAAGACGAAAAATCAGATTAAGTCATCTAAGAAGCCGGCTGGATTCTACCTCCGCAGTGAGGTTCTTGAAGGAGGCTTTGAAGCAATTTATTGCACCAAGAACTCCATGGTGACTGATGCATACACCCATCCTGCCATTGAAGCTCTCAGAGCCAACGATCCCGATGAGCCATTGTGCCAAATTGGAATCATGGGAGCTTATTACATGAGGATTGGTCCTGGAAACAACGCCCCCCTCCTCAATGCCACCAATGCTTACACGCCAGGTGTTTATTAGGGCCCTTGATGAGGGAGACATGTTGCCAGAAGCTAGACTTGAGGCTTTGAGGGTTTTCAAAGAGTTCTTGGAGAAGCGTGAGAACAACCAGTATGGTACCAAGGTTTTCATTGAACAACCTGGATGGGATTTAACTCCCCTTGAAGGTCAAGACCTTCGCAAAATGGATCACATTTTGCAGTACTCGGAGATTGTCAGGATCATTCGAGATGTCTTTGACAATGTTGGGCCTAACTGGGCTGCCAACGATGCCAACAAGGCTGATGCTGATGCCTTTCTTACACCTGGTTTGATCCCCTATGCAGCCCATCGTGATTTGGGGTACCCTGTGGAGCTTGTTGTCCAGGAGCCTCAGCCCATGGAACAAGCCCAGGCCAATGGAGAAGCCCAGTCAAATGGAGAAGAGCCTTAAGAAGGTTTTCTTGCAGCTGTGCAGGAATTGAAAGAAGTAAGTGAGATTGAGAAATAGAGATGATTTATGTTAGCTTTGGTCTGTGAGGTAACGTGATGTGTCTGCCAAGAAAATATATTTGTGTGAGTGTGCTTTCAACTACTGAAAAAGAACTGTCTAGGTAGATAGTACTGGCAATAACTAGTAGGACAAATTGCAACTACTCCGAGTGGGTGACTGTCTATTATTTGTAGTAAACACTTTTAGCTCAACTGTTTTAATGCATTTGCCCTTCGTTTCACAGTGAGTATGAAATGTCTAATGCAGGATTGCCCAAATGTGGCAGCCAAGTCCACATCTAAGAAGCGCATTTTGGGCAAAGTGGATATTATGGGGAAGGTGCACAAAACGCTGGATCAAATTTTAGCGACTCATTTATGTGGGTCCCTTATCATGTCGAAGGGCATTATTTTACCCACATACGCCAAATCATGTACTCGTTCACAGCTCATATTGCCCAAATGAACAAACATAATGTCCCTGCGAGTCCATCATATTTTTGTGGAAGTGCGTCGAAAAAGTGTGCTCCGTACAGAGATCTGGCGGTACGCCCCTTTATGCCAGTGCGTGGATATTTGGCGCAAATGCCTCCAAAAAGTGAGCTTGGGTAAGTGATCAGCCCTGCTTTCTTTTGCCCTCTCCTACTAAATGGTTCTGTTCTCTGAGCTAATAAATAAGTTAACGATTATCTAGTTTTAAACTGCTTTGTCATTGTTTTCGTAGTCATGTTCACTTGGGCAAATTAATGACGGATAATGTAGTTATGGTTGTGTCGGATTGTGCACGGGATCTTTGACGTCTTGCATGCAATTTCATCGCCATTGGGTAAAATTCTTTGATGCCCCTTTGCTGCTTGTGCTCACTTTTGTATGCACTATGCGCAAAATGTTCCGGAGGACTCCTGCAAAGCTACGTGCCGTCAT